TAATTGACCATATTTCTGGGTTCTCTACTCTGTTCCATTGATCTATATGTCTGTTTTTATGCCAGTACCACGCTGTTTTGTTTTCTATGATCTTGTAGTATAGCTTGATATGAGGTGGTGTGGTGCCTCCAACTTTGTTCTTTCTCAAGGTTGCTGTGGCTATTGGGGTCTTTTGTGGTTCCATATAAAGTTTTGGATTATTTGTTCTAGTTTTGTGAAATATGCCATCGGTATTTTGTTAGGAATTGTATTGAATCTATAGATTGCTTTGGGTAGTATGGGCATTTTAACAATATTAATTTTTCCTATCCATGAGTACAGTATATGCTTTCATTTATTGGTATTTTCTTCAATATCTTTCTTCAGTGTCTTATAATTTTCCAAGTACAGGTCTTTTACTTCCTTTGTTAAATTTATTCCTAGGTTGTTGTTTTTCTATGGAATTGTAAATATGATTGTTTTCTTAATTTCCCTTTCTGATGGTTCATTATTGTATAAAAAGCAACTGATTTCTGAATATTTATTTTGTATTCTGCTACTTTACTCAATTTATTTATCAATTCCAGTAGTCTTTTGGTGGAATCTTTAGGGTTCTCTATATACAGTATCATATCATCTGCAAATGACAGTTTTACTTCTTCCTTTCCAATTTAGATACCTTTTATTTCTTTTTATTTTCTGATTGCTGTGGCTAGAACTTCCATTACTATGTTGAATAAGAGTGGTGAAAGTGACATCCCTGATCTTAAGGGAAATGTTTTTAGTTTTTCCCCATTGAGTATGACATTAGCTGTGGGTTTGTCATATATGGTCTTTATAATTTTAAGATATGTTCCCTCTATTCCTATGTTGCTGAGAGTTTTTATCATAAGTGGGTGCTAGATTTTGTCAAATTCTTTTCTGCATTACTTGATATGATCATATGATTTTTATCCTTCATTTTGTTTATGTGTTGTATCACGTTTATTGATTTGCGAATATTGTACCGACCTTGAATCCCCATAATTAATCCCACTTGATCATGGTGTATGATCTTTTTTTTTTAATCCTTGGGTAAAGTTTTTTTTTAGAGAGAAAAGGAGAAAGAGAAAGAGAGAGAGAGAAATATCCGTATGAGAAACATCGATCGATTTCCTTCCATAATGCCTCAACCATTGATGCATATACATCATCTCATTTATTATTAAAACCACCACTGAGATGTGGTCTTATTTCAGTCGTACAGAGGATGAAATAGGTTGAGAAGGGTCAAGTAACTTGTTCAAGGTCACATGGTGTTAAACAGCAATGGTGGAATTTGAATCAAGCCTTCCCCATGTCACGCATGGAGTTGGGACGGCTGCGCACCGCCAAAACGGTGAGAGTGGCGTGGAGGTCGCATGCCAGGAGCACTAGGGGGAGGACACAAGAAACAGGAAAAGGCCCGAGGCGGCGGCTGCTGGTTGCTGGGCAGTGGCTTGTTTCAGATAGCTACTGGGCTGGGTGCGAGGACAGGATTGGAATGTGAGGTTTGGTGACGTCTGAATCTGGTAATAGTTTAAACCCAGTAGTGAGTACGTTCTGAGGATAACTGAAGAGAAGGGGCCAGTTTGGGCTTGAATCCAGGAGAGCCGCAGTTGATCTTCCTGAACTCTTTAATAATTCTTTTATGTCACGTAGACAGTGTTCTGGTGGGTCACTTGAGTAGCAAGTATGTAAATATATGTTATCTATGAAAATAGTAAGCCAGAGAATAAAATGACTTGCATAAAGCCATCTGGTTTATTTGTAGTAGAGCTTAAATAATAAAAAAGAGAAATAGTTCCTTCCCCTACTCTCCTACTTTTAGTAAGGCTTTTCCAGCTCCCTGGAGCAGACCACACCCTGTAAAATAGCCTGTTTGTGGCATTAGTTCATTTCCATTTTTATACTTCTAAAGCACAGGAGCAGTTAAAATACCAGTGAAGAAGGATGCCCATTGTTTTCCTCCAGCAGAAACAGAGTAGAAATAATCAGTTCAAAAGGACTGTCAGTCTGGTCTGTGAATCTTTATGTTCAACTTTAATCATTCAGAAACAGATCTTGAGCATCTTGACATAAAGGACATTTTGGATCATGTAAAAAAATATAGGGAAGTGATTTTTAATCAGAGAGTTGCATTTGCAAAGAATTTCTAGAACTCAGGTAATTAACCAAATTAATGCATATTTCTAAAGAATTTCTAGAATTATAAAGAAAATGCCATATAATTACATATCTGGATGGAGAATTTTGACTAGATTTCACGCCCCCCTCACCCCCTGTGTTATTGTCTTTATGTACTATTATGAAGGAGTTCATACAAAAATGACAATTTTAAAACATGAATAAATAAATAAATTAGAAAACTGAACAATCTCATTTATGGGAGAAAAGCAGATTCTTTCTAATGATTTGCTAAGGCAGAATTCTTTTCCTAATGAAAGACCCAATTTTAATTTGTGTATGAGCTCATCATAGATAAGAGTCACTTTGTAAGAGTTGTGTGTTAAATGCATAAAACATTCCTGTAGAAAATGGAACATTGAAACAAGCCATTTACAAAGTATTGTGTTGCTTTCACTGTAGTAAAACAGCTTCCAACGGGTAACAAGTTTAACCGGATATTTTTTTTAGCTCAGGCTTCGTTTCTTATTTGAGAGGGTTGTGTAGTAATTTTTATCACGCGTCACTAGAAATACAATTTGTTAGAACAAAGCCTGTTGTGTAAGTATAATCACATCTTCCTGCGCGATTGAATGAGGGCTGCATCGGAGCCTCTTTTCAGCCCAGGCAGCTGAAGCCAGCCAAGTTCAGCCTATAAAAGAATTCCTGAGACTAACTGGTACTAATTGTTTGCAGAACAACCAGTGGAAATGATATTCATGAATACTATGGAAATAAAATTTTCCAAATCCAAATGGTTTATCCTTTGTTTTCACCACTTTATTGTGGTCAGATTATTTGTACAACCAGGCCCAGTGAAGTGGGCGCTCTTAATCTTTTATTGTTGTTGGAAGATAACTTAGCATTCATCTGTCCCGGCCTCTCGTCTTATAAATGGTGAAAATTGATGCTTAGGGAGCAGTTGAAGGGTTATTTAAATTACTGACCTTTAAACATTTTTTTTTTAATTTGAGAGAGAGAGAGAGAGGAATGGGGAGTGAGAGAGAAAGAGTGTGTGTGTGTGTGAGAGAGAGAGAGAGAGAGAGAGAGAGAGAGAGAGAGATTGATTTGTTGTTCTACTTATTTATACATACATTGGTTGATTCTTGTATGTGCCCTGACCGGGGATGGAACCCACAAACTTGGCGTATTGGGATAACGCTCTAACCAACTGAGCCACCTGGCCAGGCCCTTTCATCTTTTTGCTCACACATTCCCATCTGAACCCTACCATGTATATGAGTATATTAATTTATAAATGATACACTTTAATGTAATTAAAACATATTAGTTTTCAAAGTACATATGAACACTTGAAAACATAAATAAACTGAAATTTTAATGGATGAGAGAAAACAAGGAAATAAATGGTTTAATATTTTCTTTCCACACCCCAAAGATTGTTCGTGTGTGTATCCCACTTTGGAGACCACTTATTCAAGTTAAGAGAAATAAATAGAAAATGAAAAGAAACTTGCAGTTGAGAATAGAGAGAATCTGTAGAAGACGATTCAAGATTTTGGGGGTGGGAAGGGGTCTGGGACACTTATTCACCGTGAGTATCTAATTTAATCAAAATTACTACATAATGACTTCCTTTTCTATTTTAGTCCTCTTTATAGATGAGTTTATTTAGACAAGGAGCAGCACAACTCCCATGGCATATTAAATAGGAAAAGGAGAGCTTGAAGAAGTTGGTCAGAGAGGTGTAAAAGTCAGAACTTCAGAATGACAGAAATGGCAACTAAAACTAAACGTCACAAATGCCAGTTTATTAGCTTTAATAAAAGTGTACCTGGGACCTCCAAGGATGACACTGGCCTTTAGTTATAGCTGGATCCAGAAACTCAGTGTTGTCACATTTTCATTGGTTCTGTTTTTTTCAACTACGAGTGATGAGCCCTTTCTACATGAGGGGGAATATGACTGCCAACAGCCCTAACTTCCTGTCAGGCCTGGTTAGCAACGTCAATGAGAGGGCATTTCTCTCTGAATGTCATGTTTTCATCCCAGGGAAGACTGGTCGACCCAGTCTAGGTCATGTGTACCATGACCCATTAGGTGGGCCTCTATGATGAACAATCCAACTTTACCATGGAAGGCCGGCCAGGAAGGTCCTCAAAGCTGAGGGGAGAGGCTAACAAAAAAGGGGGCGGGGGTAGTTTCAGAACATCCCCAAACAATGTATTTTCATGAGGGGAGAGCTCACCCATGTTGGGTTGTAGAGGTATTTAACAAAATATATTTAAAACAGAAAACAATCCAAAACAGAAATGATTCTCAGTGACTTAATCTTTGCCATTTGACTCAAGCAAAGAGTGTGCAGCGTTGAGAAATGCATTGCTGTAAAACCACCACTGCCCCCCTTCATTGGTCAGAGTGCAGCCTGTCAGAGGTCTCTGTACAAGGAGCAAATCTGCTTCTGATTTCAGTTCACCCAGGGGGTGCAGGCTTTTTGGACCAATTATTACCAGACCCTGAGATAAGTCACCTCCTGCACCATTAGCACTGGAAGGATTATCAGCCTCAAAGATTTATATGCGGATTAATTGGGGAGTGTACCGTCGATAGCTGTGTTTAGAACCACGGTCCTCCAGTAAATCATTTTCATTAGTGCTTTACTCAAAATTCTGGAGCCTTATATAATACTGACGTTGCAGGGAAATCTGAGTGAGCCTTTTTGTTATTTATCAGTGGCTTGGCCTCAGCCTGGCCCCCACCCCTACCCCCCACCTAGAGTTTAATAGTTCTGGCTGGGGATCACAGAGCATCTGAAAACACAGCGGCTCCCTGCTCCCAGTATTGCAGATTACTTCAGTTGCTTCAGCTGAACAGTGACCAAGATTTGCAAGACCTTGTAGTGACAGAGACAAGATGAGGTACAAAAAATACATGGCTATTCTGGAAGCAGCAGTTGGCATCACTCCTCTTAACAAAAGAGAGCTTCTCCCTGAGAGCAGAAGACACGTGAACCTTTGGCAGCACCCTGGGTAAGCAGAGGAGGCCAGACGCTTGGTGGGTGTGTGGGGGCCTCGCTGGAGAAAAGGGTCATCTCTGTCGTGAGGGCAGTAAGTGGGGTTCTTCACTGCCACCTTGGTGGGTATGGCCTTTCCATATGGATTTAAAAATAGTAATGAAAGTAATGGTGATAATACTCTAGAAAATCCCTGGTGTAACAGCCAAGAAGATGAAGAAGGTGAAGTCCAGAGCAGATTTTTACATCTAGATATTTTACTTTTTTTATTTTGAAATGTTCCCCATGGTCTAGCAATGTAGCAATTCTTAAAGCGGAAGTGAATGTGCCTTATTTTTCCTACAGTGTGAGCATTTCTCTGATTGAAGAGTGTGTGTAGACCGTTTCAGGGAGATGCTTTTCTTGGAACAGCGGTTTTTATTTCACATCTTTTTCTGAAGCCCCACTGATTTTACCCCACTGAAGAAGGGTTTAGACGTTCTTTTCTGATGTTCTTGCTGAAGTACCTCTCTGTGCCTTTTACACATTGAGGAGAAGCTTCGTTTAAGGTGTCTGTGAGGTGGTGTTTTTAGAGACTAAATTTAATTTTCAAAACTGAATGGGCCACACATTGGCAATCACCCAAGGATCAACGCAAGGAATCTGTAACTAATAATATTTCTCTTTATAAAGGAGAAAGTCACTACCTTTAAAAAACATCATATAAACAATTTACATTTATATGGAAGATTTAGAAAATACAGAAAAATAAAGGGGAAAATTACATGTAGTCCCACCTCCCTAAGATAATTACTATAATTATTTAGGTTCTCAACTGGGGGGTGGAAGAGAGGCATGGTGGTGATGGAGGGATTTGCCCCCCAGGGGACATTTGGCAATATCTAGGCACATTTTTGTTACAACTCAGGGGGTTTGGGGGGGAGTTGCTACTGGTATGTAGTTCATAGAGGCCAGAGATCTTAACATGGTCAGTCCCCCACAACAAATAATTATCCAGCCCAAAATGTCAGTTGTGCTGCTGTTGAGATATGTGATTTAGGTAGATTTTCTTCCCATCTGTCAAAGGTAGTTTTTATTAGAAATAAATGATATCTTTCTCTCATTTTAAGGATGCTTTAGAATGGAATCCTGAGACAGCATTATTATTAATGATCACCATTGGTATTATCATGTTGCTGTTCTCTTATAAAGCAAAAGGAGTGTTTGTATGTGTTGAGGGGACAAGGGGGATATGGTGACTCTAGGAGGGTCCATGTGGGTCAATGGTCTTCACTGGGGGCTGTGGAAAACATGTTGTGATGGTCAGATTGTGAGTCTTCAAGTGGCCCCTAGACATTGGACATACTGTAACCCTGGGCCTTTGCCGTAGGCGATAGGCGATTAGAGCTGGAAGAATGTTCTATCAGGGATGTAGAAAGGTTCGTGGGGCATACTGGAGCCAGTGATGTGCAGGCTGCTTAGACTGTCAAGTTGGGGAGGACCCTGAAGCCAAGTCTGGGCTTAGCAGGAAAGAATGTCTCAATTGATGAGGGATCTTTGTTCTGGATGTATAATTGGAGAATCGAACAACTGCAACATGCAGCCTCTATATTTATCATTCCTTAGTCTTCCTTTAGCCTTCAAATTTTACAGGTGTGAAACTCAGCCTCATCTGAGTCCTGATCCAGGGCATGGCCTTCAGACAGTAACTGGATGCTGTTGGTTTCTGGCTCAGGGTCATTCATTAAGGGATTCACCCTAAACCAACTCACATGATTCAGATGTGTGAATTAATTGCTAAAGTATTCATTTCTTTTTAAAAAATATGTTTATTGATTTTAGAGAGAGAGGAAAGGAGAGGGAGAGAGAAAAAAAAACATTGATTGGCTGCCTCCCACATGCACCGTGGCAGGGGATTGAGCCCACAGCCTGGGCATGTGCCCTTACCAGGAATGACCCCGAGACCTTCCAGTGCACAGGCTCATGCTCAACCAACGGAGCCACACCAGCCAGGGCTTTCCATTTCTTTTTGGAGATAACCTTTCCCAGCAATTGCAATAAGCATCCAAAGTAGGACCGTCTCTACTTCTCCTCATTTCCCTAAGTCAAGCGAAACAGAAGTCAAATTATTCGTTCCATCATAATCTTTATTAAGGAAAGGTGACTGTTTCTTTAAAAAAACAGAAAACATTTCCTTAAGCCTGATGAAAGTAGCACTGTGCACAGGACAACCAGGTCTTCTTGTACCTGTAATACTTTAAGTACACATGGACAAGGTACTGTTTTGCTGATCCCCATTTTTTGTTTGCTACTCCCTTGTCACTTGACACAGCTTTCCTTTGAACACACTGTTACACTTCACTAAGAATGGGTTATCTTCTACTTTCATTTTATTAATCAACTCGAAATCTTTCAACAGGACCTCCATGTCTTATTTGTCGAACTTTAATGTGCATAAGAATCACTCTGTTGCCCTGGCCGGTTTGGCTCAGTGGTTAGAGCGTCGGCCTGCGGTCCTGAGAGACCCGGGTTCGGTTCCTGCTAAGGGCACGTACCTCGGTTGTAGTTTGTCCCCGGCCCTGGTTGGGTCGTGCAGGTGGCAGCCACTCGATGTGTCCCTTTCACGTCGATCTTTCTTTCTCTCCCTCCCACTCTGTCTGAACAACAAATGGAAAAATGTCCTTGGGTGAGGATAAAAAAAAATAATCACTCTGTTAAAGTGTAGATTTTAATTTTGTCATCGCGGTGGGGCCGAGAATCTGGATTTTAATAAGCTTCCAGGTGATGCTGTCAGCTCAGGGGAGCCCAATGGATGGCCCAAATGATGCTAATGGTTCAGTCCATGAACCACACTTTCAGGAGCAAGTAGCTAGAGGAGCACTTTTCATCACAGCCTACTTGCTTTTTCCTGACCTTGAACCTTCTGATCTTCCTAAGGACTTTGAGTTCCAATACCTTCCCTCCCTGCAGTTGTTAGAGATCTCAGTGGTAAGAAGTTAGGTGTTTGGCTGCGTTTCTGTGGAGGGAAATCTGCCCATGAGCATTCTGACTGGAGATTTCCACTGGGCTGGTGGACTAAATAGTGAAGCCAATATTTCTTCTAATAATTCTGTCTCTTTCATTCTTCTCAAAAAGTATTCTGATTACTACAATATTCAGTAAGTCCTCACTTAATGTCATTGATAGGTTTTTGGAAACTGCAACTTTAAGTGAAATGATGTATAACAAAACCAATTATACCATAAGCTAATTGATATGAACAAGAGTTAAGTTCCTATGGCACATTTCTGGTCACCACAACCTGGGCATGTGCCCTGACCGGGAATTGAACCGGTGACCTCTTGGTGCATGGGTCAATGCTCAATCACCGAGACACACCAGCCGGGCAACACTTCTAATCTTAAACATTGAAATAAATGCGAGCAATACAGACATTTAAGAGACATTAATAAAAACAAGATAATTATTTTCCAAATCACTGGTTCTAGTTCAGGGTCACTGGTGACCAGAGCCCATCTCGGCAGCTCAGGGTGCAAGGTGAGAACCCACCCTGGACAGGACACCCTTTCATCGCAGGGCCGCCCACACCCACACCCACTCAGATTGAGACAATTGAGACATGCCGTTCACCTTGCGTGCATATCTGTGGGATGTGGGAGGAAATGGAAGGAAATCAGAGTCCCCAGAGAAAACCCACGTGGACATGGTGAGAACATGCAAACTCTTAACAAACAGTGGCCCTGACTAGGAATTGATTTCTTTTTTTATCAATGTTGTAAGAGAACCAGATTGAAAGAAATGACATTGCTCAAGCACCTGTTGTCCTTGTAATACTGCATAGTATTCAAGAGCAGTTACTTTTGCATTTTATTTATTTATTTATCCTCACCTGAGGACATTTTTCTATTCTTTGTTCAGGTAGAGTGGGAGGGAGAGAGAGGAACAGAGAGAGAGAAACATCGATGTGAGACAGACACATCGACTGGTTGCCACCCACATGACCCCAAACGGGGCCGGGGACAAACTGCAATCGAGGTATGTGACCTTCGCGGAAACCGAACCCGGGACTCTCTGGTCCGCGGGCCGGCACTCTAACCACGGAACCAAACCAGCCAGGGCTACTTTTGTATTTTAAAACATAATTGGAAGTCAGGTTATGACTGTTTTCAAAATGCCCTGGAATTCATTCAGCACCAACTCCCTTTCTCTTGCTGTCTGCTAACAGGGCCGTGCTTGGCCTGCTTTGCAAACAGCACAGTCACATGATAAGCCCAAACCACCAGCTACCAACCAATTGGCTGAATTGCAAGGTTGCTGAAGCTCAGATTGGAGGATTTATAATCATGTGCCTATTTACCCCACTGCCCAGCACATAGTCAGTGCTCAGCAAATATTTGCCCATGCTTACTCAGTTTTAGTATCGTCACAGAGGAAGAAAAATATACATAAAAGAGAAATTGACACCCAAACACAAAAATACTGATCCGCCTTGTAAAAGTTTGTAGTTTTCTGGCTCTCACATACGTTACCTGAGAATAATTTTACATATTTGTTGATACTGTTGCAAACCGAGAATATAATTGAGTTCTTCCGGCCAAGTGTTTTCTTAATTGAAAGGTGGCCCTAGTCAATAATGATGTACATTAGAAATGCCTGCTTATTATTGGTGGCTCCTAAACATGTCAAAAACTTCAGGAATATCATAAAAGAAAGTTTGAAACCTGATTTAGAAGTGCTGAAACCTGATTCAATTGACAGGCAAGCCCGTTTAATAAAAGCAAACTCTCTTTGGAATCGATACCTGTAGAAACATTTCACATGAAGGCCAAAAGCGTAACCAAGCCCATCTTGCTTGGCTGGCCATTTATTTATCTTTGGAAGTAATAAAAGGAACCATGTATGGGACGGGCTCTAATCCTGTTGCTTGCCTTGTAGGATGTCCAGATGGCCTTGCTTGAGCCACTGCCTACATTTCCTGCTGATCCTTGGAAAAGGGAAATGTGTCCCCTGCCTGTATAAATAAAATCGACACTATCTTTTATTTCCCTTTCATTGTGTAGGGAGTGTTTTGCACACAAGCCACAATATCACTTTGTCTAGCAAACAGAAGAGCGTGTGCAGAACTGGTGAGCAGCCGCATTCTTCCACCCACCGGAGGGTTCTCAGCTGCCCTGTGCGAAGCTGCTAGGGCCCGGGCCCAGCCCCGCAGTGAGCTGGTCTCTCTGTGCTGTTTGAAAGGCACGTGCGGGATTCATAAACACGTCCTGCAGAGCTGTTTCTTGGATTTTCTAAGGAGAAGGGGTAAAAAAGGAAAAGTACATGTCATCTTTTCTACTTGTGGGCAAACCACACACGTAAAGATGAGCCAGTATGATACATGCTGTGGAAAAGGAATTCCTGTTTAGTTTTAAATGTTTTCTCTATTGTATATTTTAAAACAGTAAGTTTTATGTGAAGTGCATTTTACTACAGCTAAGAAAAAAGTTTTCTTGAAATATTTTCCTACCCACGGAATATTTTTTTTAACCTCAAATTTTTATAAGATGACTTTCAGGTGGGTTTATGATGCAAAATTTTATGTGGGTACTGATTTTCTTCAATTAAAAATTTTTTTAATGTATTAATTTGAGAGACAGAGACAGATTTGTTGTTCTACTTATCCATGCATTCATTGGTGGCTTTTTGTATGTGTCCTGACCAGGGATCAAACCTATAACCTTGCACATCAGGACAATGCTCTAACCAAATGAGCTACCCGGCCAGGACAATTTTCTCCAATTTTTTTTTTTATCCTCACCCAAGGACATTTTTGCATTTATCTTCAGATAGAGCAGGAGGGAAAGAGGGAAGAAGAGCGAGAGAAAAACATTGATGTGAGAGAGACACATGGACTGGTTGCCACCTACACAACCCCAACCAGGGACAAACTGCAACCGAGGTACGTGTCCTTAGCGGGAACCGAACCTGGACTCTCTGGTCTGCAGGCCGACACTCTAACCGCTGAGTCAAACTGGCCAGGGCTCTCCAATTTTTTTTTTAAATATGTTTTTATTGATTTTTAGAGAGAGAGGAAGGAAGAGAGAGAGAAAGAGAAACATCGACCGCAGCCTCCTGCACGCCCCCTCTACCTGGCATGGAATCGGAGGCTTGGTGGTGCATGGGATGGCGCTTAACCAACTGAGCCACCCGGCTGGGTGATTTCCTCCAATCTCTGGAGACTGAAAACATCAGGGGCAGCAATTCCCATCCTAGATATAGATCTGAGAAAAATGAAAATATCTACATAAACTCTTGTGTGTGCGTGTTCACAATAGCCAAACAGTGGAAACAATGCAAATGTCCATCAGTTGATGAAGTGATAAAATAGGATACATCTATATAATAGACTATTATTTTTCATGAAACGGAATGAAGTTCTGATATATGCTACAACATAGATGAAACTTGAAAATATTAAGCTAAGTCAAAGAAGCCAGTCACAAAAGGTCATATATTATATGAGTTCGTTTATAGATGAAATCTCCAGAAAAGTTAAATCTATAGAGACAGAAATTGGATTGGCCGTGCCTAGGTTAGGGTGTGAGAGGATGGTGGGTAATGTCTATGGCTTTCTGTTTTTGGAATAGTGAAACTGTTCTTTTTTTTTTTATCCTCACCCGAGGACATTTTTCCATTTTTTTGTTCAGTTAGAGTGGGAGGGAGAGAGACAGAGAGAAACATCAAGTGGCTGCCACCCGCACGACCAACCAGGGCCAGGGGCAAACTACAACCGAGGTACGTGCCCTTAGCGGGAATCGAACCAGGGATTCTCTGGACCGCAGGCCGACACTAACCGCTGAGCCAAACCGGCCACAGCTGCTTTTTGTGTGTGTGTGAAACTGTTCTAAAATAGGCTGTGGGATGGTTATACCACTCTGTGAATATACTAAAAGCCATACATACTATAAAGGGGTGAGTTTATAGCAGGTGAACTTCAGTGCATTTTTCAAGATCTCACCCTGCCAGAAAGACCATGTTGGGTTTTTAACAACACTGTCTTTTTCAGGGTGCGGAGTACCACATTATTATCATCTCCCTGTGAGTGGGACTGGCACCCCAGCTGTACCTCTGGGCACAGGTGCTCCACGAAACACAGACTCGTGTCAGCCGACAGCCTGCTTCACCAGGTACAGTACTTGCTTTTTCCTGTCTGTCATCCACCTAGTTACTGGCTCTCCTCCACCAAAATTTGATGTAAATTATTTCATGTCTTGGAGGTAGTCAAGGCCACCATTTTCAATATTTCTGATAGAGAAATTGTTTGTTATTAAAATATATGTAATGATAACATCCTATTTACTAAAAAACAGAAACATCTGGCTTGCATTTATGGTCTGAATTGATAGGTATAACTTTGGGTGAATGTTAATTAAGGCTCTTCCTGACTAAAGCATGTAAGTTCAACTCCTGTGGTTCAGAATAAGTACCTAGCAAGGTATTTTGGTGTCTGTGGTTATAGATCACTCTGGTAGGTCGCATTTTTCCCATTATCTTTGAGGTAGCAGAATTATATAAAAGACATCAGTCATTGGCTTCTAAAGATTAATTATATACATGCTTTTAGTGAAAGATTAAGGGTGAGTATTATCTATTCACTGATTCAATTTCAAGTATGAATTAAATGAGATTTACAAGGTATTAAACTTTATTTTGACAGATGCTGGGATGTATTTGTTCTTAGTTACACTTTAACCCCTGATTATAGACCAGTCTATGATGGCTGGCTGGGATGGGGCTGGCACTGTTGTTCATGGGCTTGTTCGTCATTCCTGCCTGTTTAAGCTCGCAGCCCCTGCCCAGGTGGGTTCCAGCTACGCATCAGAGCTGGAGTTTAGTGCAGTGTGAATAGCACACAGCTGTTCAAAGCCCAGCGCTCCTGCCTTCTGCTTGTGTGACCTCAGGCACATGTCTTAATTTCTTTGAATCCCGGATCCTTCATTTGTAAAGAAAAGGAATGTTAACATGAAGCTCAATGAGTTCACACATACCAAGCACTGGGCACACACCATGGCCTTTCTTGGAGTCTGGTTGTCCAAGTGGGGACATTGAAAGGGGAAGCCCTCCATTTCCACTGCTCCGACAGGGCTGGGAATGGGTGTTTGTTGATCTGTATGGAGCTCTTAAAGTTTCCAAACATACTTGTGCCTAGACTCCAGAAGCGGTGTTTCTGAAAGATTTCTAGGTGCGATCTATTGATCGAGTCCAGTGACCTGGATGGATAGCATGGAACATGGCACAGCGGGGTTGAAGTGGACATTACCTGTTGGAGGGAGGTAATGACTTGAGTTTCTAAGTCAAGCAGAATCCCTCCTGATAGGCCTCCTGGTTCTGATTTCCTGTACTCGTAACCACACATCTTTCCACATCGGTTTGGTTTCCCAAGGCAGCGCCTTACTACTCCAAGCTCCTCTATGTACGAACACTGAAGGGTGCCTTGACCTGAGGTTTCTGATCATCAGCCTCTACCTGTTCTGCCCTCCTTCTCAATCTTGGAGTCTGGAGAGCACTATTTGCCTGGTGTTTGTTTCTTGATACTTCAAGGGGCTTTATGATCACTTTTCTGACATGGCAAAATCATCTTAACCTCTTTGCCTTCAGAAAGGATGCTAAGAGTTTGAGCAGAGAGAAACTCATTTCCTGGACATGGATTCTCACTGTTACATAATTATGTACCTTAGAGTTATCACAAACTTACCCCATAATATGGGCTTAGAAAAGGTGAATTGTCAGTGTATTGAGTGTCGTCCCATGGACTGAGAGGTCCTGGTTTGATTCCTGGTCAGGGCACATGCCTGGGTTGCAGGCTCGATCCCGAGTAGGGAGCATGCAGGAGGCAGCCGATCAATGTTTCTCTCTCTTTCTCTCTCCCTAAAAAAATCAATAAAAACATATTAAAAAAAAAAAATAGAGTTGTAAGTGAAAGCTTAAAACGTTTACTTCTGTGCACCCGTGGGCCCCTCTTTGCCCCGTCCCCCCTAGGGGCTCCTTAGTCTATAGTGGTACTCAGGGGGCACACCAGCAGCCCAAACCCCTCATATTGAACTGAATAAACCCAGACAGTAGTTCTCAAACTTGAGCCACATCAGACTCCCCTTGAGGGCTTATTGAAAAAAAAAAAAGATTCCTAGATCCCACCTCCAGTTTCTGCTTCAGTCAGCCCGGAATGTGAATTTCTAACAAGTCCCCAGCAGGCTGATACTGCTGGTGTCCAGACTACACTTTGAGAACCACGAACCTGGAAAACACTTTTAGTAGCTGCTTTGGAGCATGGCTTGTTTGTAGACGGTGTGTGTGGCCAGTTTTCCTACGGGTGGTGAAGAGATTCTTCCTCAACATTTAATGAGCCTCTCACAGCGCTGCCTGAGGGACATCTGGAGGAACAGAAGGCTTGTCCCAGGGGATTGGGGACTCTAATCTGGAATCAGTCATTGCACTGCTGTGTGGAAGGGGCTGCCCTCACCCCTGACAGTGCGTGTGAGCAGTGGCCTGAGGCGGTGACTAATGGTAGGCGCCCTCATGGTAGGTGATATTTGAGAGGAAACTTGAGGATGCAACGTCGTGGACCAGGGTTGTGAAGAGGGGAGAAGAATCCCGGGGGCAGAGACTACATCATAGAGCCTAGAGATGCTGCCCTAGGCTAGAAGACTCATGTGTGTGTGGGGAGACTTCCATTGTGATTCCAGTGCAATGTGACGTATCAGCCTGCAGTACCGGCAGGGAAAGGGTCACGTTAATGTGGGTGCTGCTGTAGGGCAGTTGGTATGTGCTAAACGTTTTAGCTGCATTGTCTTCCTTTACTTCCCCTGCCCACCCTCTGAGCTGTCGTCCAACTATAACCCTAATTTGTGTCCCTTTCCTAGGCTGCAGTAAAGACGTGCCTGCACTGGGTAGCTTGAACAATAGAAATGTATTGCCTCAGGTCTGGAGGCTGGAAGCGTGAGACCACGCTGTTGGCAGGTTGGTTCCTTCTGAGGGTGGTGAGGGAGGGTCCGGTTCCAGCCCTCTATCCTCGGCGTGCAGACGGCCTCTTCCCTGTGTGTCTCACTGCGTCTGAATTTCCCCTTGTGTAGAGACAGTAGTCATATTAGATGACGGACCACCCTAAGGACATCACTTTCACTTGATGTCCTATGTAAAGGCCTATCTCCAAATGAGGTCATATTTTGCGTTACTGGGGGTTAGGACGTCACCCTGTAAAGTGAGGGGTCACAATACAACGTATCACACCGCTTTACAGACGAATAAATGGAAGCTTAGAGGGTTTAGATAAGCTGCTCAAATCACACAGACCTTAGGCTGAACCATGTAAACTGGCCATTTTTTCTAGGTCAAAAGAGTCGAATCGTGCCAATGCCATAGGTTAGACCCAAGGAATAGCCGAACTGGGACTCACTGAAACACAGGCCTGTCTGACCTCATAGTCGTGCTCCTTCACCCAGTGCTTTGCTGGCTTCTAGCGTTGTCTTTGTTTGTGCTGTTTCCTCATGGTTCACTGGGAGGAGATAGATGTGTATTTATTGATTGATAGATTTGTATTTATTCACTGGGACACAGGGTACTAAGTCTGTTAGTTTGAGGTTCTTACGTTTCTGAATAAGATGTTCTTATATTAAGAAGACTGTGGGAAATTATGAAGCATTTAAAATTCATGAAAGAAAGGGGCTATATTTTCAAGATGTGCTGTTTTGCTGTTAAAATACCTGTAAATACACAGGTTATCTGAGTATAGATGTCCAATCCTTAATTTCCCTCTCAAAGCTGTGTAATGTTTATGAACAATGTGTTAACCTTACACTTGTATTATAAGTACATTTACTTGGAATTTTTTCGGCATTTGGGGATTTCAAGCAACTTAATTTCTAGCCACAGAGATTTTTTAAAAAATGTATCTTTATTGTTGAATGTATTATAAATGTCCCCCTTTTTTCCCCCCATTGACCCCTCCTCTCCAATCCCACCCCCCTCTTGCCTCCCCCCCACTATTGTCGGTGTCCATTGGTTGTGCCTATATGCATAGAAGTTTGTTGTTTTATCTCTTCCCGCCTTCCCTTCCCCCTTCCCTTTGAGAGGTTCATCAGTCTGACAACTAATTTGTACTTCTTAATTTTTTAATCTTTTTCACCTATCTCCCCAGCCCCCGCCCATTTGGCAAGCAACAAAAAGTTCTCTGTATCTGAGTCTGTTTCTGTTCTGCTTGCTCATTTTGTTTGTAGATTCAATTGTTGATAGATATGTATTTATTGACATTTTATTGTTCATATTTTTGTTCTTCAAGAAGACCCTTCAACATTTCATATAATACTGGTTTGCTGGTGATGAACTTCTTTAGCTTTTTCTTGTCTGGGAAACTCTTGATATGACCATCAATTCTAAATGATAGTTCTGCAGGATAGAGTAATCTTGGTTGTAGGTCGTTGCTTTTCATCACCTTGAATATCTCTTGCTACTCCTTTCTGGCCTACAAAGTTTCTTTTGAGAAATCAATGGACAGTCTTATGGGAGCTTCTTTGTAGGTAATGAACAGCAAAGTTCTCTTGCTGCTTTTAAGATTCTCTCTTTGTATTTAACTTTTGGCATTTTGATGATAATGTGTCTTGGTGTGGACCTCTTTGGGTTCATCTTGTTCGAGACTCTCTATGCTTCCTAGACTTGTATGTCTATATCCTTCACCAGGTTAGGGAACTTTTCTGTCTTTATTTTTTCAAATAGGTTTTCAATTTCCTGTTCTCTCTCTTTTCCTTCTGGCACTCCTATGATGTGAATGTTGGCATGCTTGAATTTGTCCCAGAGGCTCCTTATACTCTCCTCATTTTTTTGGATTCTTTTTTCTTTTTGCTGTTCTGATTGGGTGTTTTTCGTTTCCTTATTTCCAATTCGATGGTTTGCTTTTTGGCTTTACCTACTCTACTATTGATTCCCTATAAATTATTCTTTATTTCAGTTAGTGTATCCTTCATTTCTGACTGGTCCTTTTTAATGTTGTTGATGTTCTAAGTTCCTTGGAGTTCTCCTTAAGTTTCTTGAAGGTCTCACTAAATTCCTTGAGCATCTTTGTAACTAGTGTTTCGAACTCTGCATCTGATTGATTGCTTATCTCCATATCATTTAGTTTTTTTTCCTGGAGTTT